CTGGGATTTTTGCTGTATATCTATCTATCATCTATCTATATCTATCTATCTATCTATCTATCTATCTATCTATCTATCTATCTATCTATCATCTATCTATCTATCTATCATCTATCTATCTATCTATCTATCTATCTATCTATCTATCATCTATCAATCATCTATCATCTATCTATCTATCTATCTATCTATCTATCTATCTATCTATCTATCATCTATCTATCTATCTATCATCTATCATCTATCTATCATCTATCTATCTATCTATCTATCTATCTATCTATCTATCTATCATCTATCATCTATCATCTATCTATCGTCATCTTTCTATCTATCATCTATCTATCATCATCTATCCTTTCTTCTTCTTCTTCTTCTTCTTCTTCTTCTTCTTCTTCTTCTTCTTCTTCTTCTTCTATTATTATTATTTATACCCCGCCCTTTTGGCTGGGTTTCCCCAGCCACTCTGGGCGGCTTCCAACAAAAGATTAAAAATACATTAAAACATCAGTCATTAAAAATTTACCTAAACAGGGCTAGGAAGTTTTCTTGCTTCTTCTTTCTTCCTTCCTCAACTGAGGGCAGCATTACAACAGAGATGGGGAACCTGCGGCCTTCCAGATATTACTGGACCAATTCCTACAGCCCTGCCCATTGGGCCATGTTGGCTGGGCTGATAGAAATTATAGTCCAATTATATCTGGAGAGCCGCAGGTTCCCCACACTTTAACTAAAACATTTAAAAGAGTCATCTTAACTAATTATACTAATATGGGCAAATGGGCATTATCATTTCCAACTTATTGCACATTCTGAGGAAGAGGGTGCTGTTGAGCAGGTAGAATCCATGCTTTCAATCACACATTCAGTACCTGACATCTCCACGTATAGCTGTGAAGGACTAAAACCCCGAAAAACACTTTTTCAGTCAGTGTAGACCACACCAACCAGGTGGACTAGTTGGTGTCTCATGTGACAGACTATATTCTTCATACATTCAAGTGTTTTGTTTTTGACATCCATGCCTAAAGGCGCCATGACAGGTTTAGAACCAAGCCAGAAGAAATGTGGGAAGTCAGCGAGGAAGATTTCCCATCATTTTCCCTTTTGCTAATTATAGTACTTGCAGGCTCATGGGGATGCTTTGAAAAGTGGTACTCTGGGAGAGGGTACCATTTCCCTCATCTAAATTGCCCCTCCCCTAAAGTAGTTTATCTTCATTTTAGGATCTTCGTCTGCTGCATTTTCCCAGTGCAGGCGGGGGGAGGGGAAGCTGACAGCTCTAGGCTGACCTTACTCTAAAGGGGAAAGAGTCTCTTGCTCTCTATGGGTGATGCCGTGATGTAATTTAGAGGAAAATCACAGCTGCTTAATGATCCATATTTCTTTGCTCTTTAAAGAATAAGCTCTTTTTCCTTTTGGAATAGGATTGTGGATCATGCTTGTGTCAATATTCTAGCCTAATTTCCCCAGTTCAATTATACCATGTGATGCAAGTATTTCACTATCAAACTTTCTTGTCCAGGAAGACTTTTAAAGTTTGGGATATTCTGTGGGTAACACAGCCTATTACTTTTGAGTGACTGTAACAATTCAAGTAATTTTCAATATGGAGTCATGCAGTGTAACCTAATATACAATTAACATCTGTCGGGTAGTTTAGTCCTTTGGCACACCTCCAACTTCTGCTAAGAATCTTAGCATGAAATAAGCCAAACCAATTTGTCCGAGCTCTTCAATCAGGTGATGGCAGCTTGCAAGGCATTAAAACAATTACATGTATTTATGCAAGAGACATTACCTACAGCCAACAAAATGAGCATTTTATGACATGGCAAAATATTATAATTTACAGAAAATAAATAGATCAGATTCAAAAGCCAATTGTGGGCAACTCTGGATAATGCAGACATTATTTTGAAATGTATAAGGTATTTTCTTTTATGAGTGCTAAAACACACAATGCATTCAATGTCATAAAGAGGATTGATTTGAAAATGACTACCGACTGAATGGTTTTGTGTTACTAAATCCTAGCCAGATTGGATGGTGAGCACCTGAGAAACCAAGCAGGAGAAATTAGGAAAACACATGGACCCAACTGTGAGTCCTTCAGTTCTCCCAGTGTCCAAATTAACCCATTACCAGTACTTTCTTCAGCCACAAGACTTGCAAAACTTACAACTGGTGGTCTAAGGTGTTGAGCAGCCTTGGTCACAGTCTGTTGTAACTGTGGTCTGCCACGACCCAGTTCTCCTGAGCCAGGTGGAAGAGACCTGTCTGCAGATCTGGAGATTCACAGCCACTGGTCTCAGGCCAGAACAAGGTGGACTCTGAGGCATAGGGAGCAGTGGGAGGTACCCTCTAGGAGGTTAAGACAGGCCTGCAACACACCCACATACACATAGCTGCTGTTTTGTGTAAATCTGATGGATTGAGAAATTTGTGTGTGTGTGTTGTGTGCTTACATGTAAACAGATACCAGTGTGCATGCCCATAATGACCTCAGCCTGCGTCCTGGCCAGGCTTGTGTCCTGGGCATAGGACATTGCAGGGTGCAGGCTTCTGCTGGGCGAGGGGGCAGAACCTCAGATCATTGACTATTTTCAATGATTTTCAATTATATTTGAGGATCCCACTTCCGCCCCTTGGCTACGCCCATGGGCACAGGAGATGAGGAGGAAAGGGGGAGGATATGAAGCAACAGGTAGCCTTTCATATGAACAACTCCAATTCCTTTTTGGAATGAGGCATCATTTATTTTTCATTTTTGGACTGCTATTTTGTATAAGCATGGTAGATCACATAAAGTGTATGTGCACATGTATACAAATACCCATGGATCTCAGGTTTCCTGGCTTGGAGCAACACACACACACACACACACACACACACACACACACACCTGCTGTTTTGTGCAGATCTGATGGATTGAGAAACTTGCATTTCTTTACAATAAAAAAAAAAACTAACTAAAGGTGATTGCTAACAGGTAAACAGATACCAGTGTATATGCCAACAATGACCTCAGGCAAGGCAAACCCACCCATGTAGTGGCTTGAAGTATCTAGCTCAAGCATCAGAAGCTCCTGAGGCAGCACCCTCATGGGCTCCTCCTGCCACACTCCCACCTCTGCCAGAGAAGTTGTTCAAATATCGGTGCTGCTTTCCTGCAAGATCTTGCGAGATCTCATCAAAGTCTTGCAAGATGTCAAGGAGAGCATAGGATCTCATGAGATTTGGGTGAGATCTTGCAAGCTGTTTCAGGAAGTCTCTCAGGTGCCAATGCCAGCACTGCAGTGTTGGTACAGCTGGTGCAGTAATGGCAGGTGGCACAGTGGTGGTGAGTGTCCCATGGGTGGTGGTGGTGTGGTGGTTTGGCAGAGCAGGGTGGCACATCTTGTTTTGCCTCAAGTGGCAAAATGGGACGTACCACCCCTGAGGTCAAGATTCCAGAACTTACAGCTGTCACCTCTGATGGAAGGCAGGCAAGGACCTACAAGGCAGTTGGGGCTTGATAGCTTGGTGAGGAGGTGTGTGATTCATCAGCTAGAGTAGGCTCAGGACAGGTGAGGGTCACATGCCTCATCAAGTCCATAAGATATAACGAGAAAGCTGTCCTTGCCAGGCCTGCGCACAAAACTATGGCATCAGTTTTTTGGGGGGGGATCCAGAATTTTTGGGTCGCACGTTAATGAAGTTCCACAACCACATTATTGCTGCCAACACCTTTATTTAAGATATATTTATAGTGCTATGAACACTATAAAGTGCTATATGAGTGCTAAGCCCTTTTTGTACTCAATGTTGTTGTTGTTGTTTAGTCGTTTAGTCTTGTCCGACTCTTCGTGACCCCATGGACCAGAGCACGCCAGGCACTCCTGTCTTCCACTGCCTCCCGCAGTTTGGTTAAACTCATGCTGGTGGCTTCATGAACCAGGGTTCAAAACTCCCATTGTTTTAGGTATATTTTGTGACTGGGAATTTCCTTAGCCCAAGCAGTTTCTGAGCTCTGAGCACAATACTGTGCCTAATATTTCAGATTAAAACTGTAGAGTGGAAGGAAAAGAGGACATTTTTCTGTCTCCTCACTTCCAGCTACTCTTTGAAGACTGGGGAAGAGACCCTCTTAAGAATATTAGGGGGGTTGGGCAGGGGAAGGACTAGACTAGACCATGTGAAATCTGAACATAATATTTTAGGTGCAGTTCATTCATTTTCAGCTATGTATTCTTGTTATTAAAAAGCGCACCTACACATTCCATTGTTGTGCCTTAAACCTAGGCTTAACTTGCCATTTAGCTCGTAGCTTTCAGATCTCAGTTTCTAACACTGACTCAAACCTACAGGAAGGCAGTTGTGCTTAAGCCTGAATGGCAGAACTTATGAATAAGGTACAGTAAGTCTGAGGACATAGGAACAACTTCGAGCCAAATATACATGAAGTTAATGTGCAAAAATCATTAACTATGACTGTTTGTTATGTAAAAAGCAGTCATGGGAAATCCTAAGAAGTCTCTGTATAGTCAAAGTCCTTACTCACATCACTCTACAAAGTTGCAGTTTGCATTTAAAGGGAAACCTCTATTGATACCAAGGAGAATGTAAAATGGAATACAAACAGCAGCTTCATATAAGATTCTGCCTCTTCCATCTGTAGTAGGGAGAGAAAGTATTAAATTTCCCCTCTACATTGCCTCCCCACCCCCACCCAGAGACTGATCAGGTTTTCTCCATTATTGCTGTTTACCTAACAAGAGAAGGCTAAAAACATGTAAACAGGAACAACTATACTTTATGGTAAATGCTATAGTTCTTCCCAGTAAGACCGTGTGTGTGCCTTTTGCCTGTACTTGAGTCATTCTCTTTCCATGCAGGCAAAATAATTAGGATAGCAAGATCAACGGTTGTGACATTTTTTTATTTGCACTACCAACTGTGTGATATCAGAAAGTAATCTCTTATTACAGTTCAGATATTTGAGTGGAAGAAATTATTGATAGCTCTAATGTCGCTTTGCTTTTATTATTCTGTTCCTGTTTTGACATGTGGTGAACATATTTTCCTCTCCTTTCATTCTCACCCCCCTCCCTGCCTGTTTCTCTTTTGTCATTAAGGTGCTAGATTCTCTGTGGGATGCAGGGTGTATAGTCTGACTCAGAAAGCCGATTTCTGGAAGTATGGGCTGAAAACTTTGTTAAGAGTTTCCTGTGCAAACCTTTCCGGTGAGAAGAAGTCAAGGTAGCAAAGGGAAATTCCTCTTGGGTGGGCTGCAGCCAGATCTACAAGGAGTGGATAAAACACTAAAATGTAATACAGTCGTACCTTGGAAGTTGAACAGAATCCGTTTCGGAAGTCTGTTCAACTTCTTAAACATTCAGAAAACCAAAGCGCGGCTTCCGATTGGCTGCAGGAAGCTCCTGCAGCCAATCGGAAGCAGCGGAAGCCCTGTCAGATGTTTGGGGTCCAAAGAACGTTCACAAACCGGAACACTCACTTTGGGGGTTGTGGCATTTGGGAGTCAAAATGTCCACGTACCAAGGTGTTCAGGATCCCAGGTATGACTGTACTAGAGCTGATATCCACACCAAAATATTTGGGTTGTGTATCCAACAAAGTCACCTTATTCACGCATTGATTCTGCTTGTGCAGTATTACTTGCTTTCTTTCTCTCTCTCTCTTCTCCCTGGGTGCTCTCTGTTTTGTGTTTCCTCCTAGCCTTCTTAAGCAGATTTGAGGGGGTGCACATGGGGAGAGGAGAGGGAATGGAGATTCCTTTGTACAAGCAGAATTAAATACATAATTAAATCTGGCTTGGCTTTTCTGAACTTCTGATAACTCCATGCATTTCCATGACTATATTACCTTGGACTTTCTGCATTCAAGAAAAAAATAAATGAAATGTTGTTCTTATATTTGTATGTATCAGGGAACCAGAGGACTAGAAGAGGAACAGACAGTTGGAGGCCAAGGGAAAAATAAATTCAAAGCTGCAATGTTGACTTACCAATTGGGTGACCTTTCTGAAGCCATCATTGTGGGCACCACCAGCCCTGATATTGAAGTGCAGTTCACATTTTCTATGAGAATAAAAGAGAATGCAAAACAAAAAGGGGGGAAAGGGAAAGTTTGTGTCACATTCAATTTGTTGCTTAGCAATACAGTAAGGTTATGCTATTGTTGAAAGGGGTCAGTACTATTATATGAAAGAGCACAACTGCGAATTTTGCAGAAAGATCCTGTGTTCTCTGTGGGATAGCGCGTACATTAATATGTTTTGTGCATCTCTTGGTATATAGCATCATGACTAGCTATTCAGACCAGGTCCCAGTCATGTCTTCCCTTATCCTTTGGATATGGTTAGGTCAGGAATGAGAAACAAACAATCACACCTGGATGAAAAGAATGAACAGTACAGTGATTTCTTCAATGAGAATTGCTCATTAAGCCGTCAATCAGAGCCATGTGGGTAACCAAATTCAGCAATGGCAACAATGGGCACCATGAGCTGGGCTGTTGTGGGGACTTTTTAGCCGACCCTTCAAGCATTTTCCTAATACAAAAGTTCCCAGTATAATCCAGCTTGGAATGAAAAGCCAAACCAGCCAATTTCCTGCAACAGATCCCTTTGTGAAGCCTGATTCCCTAAACACTACAGAGAAATGAATAATATGTTCTGTTGGTACAAGTCAAACATCAGACAACTTCCCCCTTTTCTGAAAAAATGGAATTCCAAAACTGCACAAGTAGTACATGTACTGGGAGCCAGGGGAAACGTCTATGGCCCACTGTGTTTGATTTTCCATGGTGCCATGGCCATGCAAACACAGCATCTGACTTAGGCTTTGCCTCTTGAGCTAAAATTTTAAAGTGCTTCACCTGGAAATGAGAAAAGAAACCTGGATTCTTATCATTGAGCTGAGGTACATGGTAGGCAATGAAAAGAATGTTGTGATTATGGAACTGATGCACAAAAGCCTAGAATTTCTTCAGAACTCTTAGGGCACGATTCACTTAAAGAGCCACATCAGTGGAAGCCCTGCATAAGGGCTTCCATGTGTGTAATGGGGCTTTCCCCCTCTGCTCCCTCTATGTACACCCTGTACCCCTGAAATTGGTTCAGGAGTGGGAGAACCCCCAGAGGAGGAAGTGTGCAGGGGGAGGCGAGTGTTGATCATTGCATCAGGCAAGCTGATATGCTAGTGTAGATGGAATGTTGGATTTCATCTTTGGTGTTTTGAATGGCAACTAATTCTTAACCTATACATATCCTTGGGTATCATACCAAAATATTATCTGCAAAAACATCAGCCCAGATGTGAACTGCAAGTATTAGTGACTGATTTTTATTTTTATTTTAAATAAGAACATCAAGTTCCTGGTAACTCCATTAGCTTTCCTGGTGTCATACCACTGCTCAGTACATCAGGTACCCTGGAAATAGACACCTGCATCCAGCACCAGCACCAGCATTTGAATGAGTCTGCAGCTCAACTTCAAGAAAAATAATACTATCTGCAAAAAGAAAGTGTGATTGCACAGGAATGTAGACAAATAAGATCCCAAGTAAATGATGTTGGGCGTGCCAAAGAAGCATCCCAAATGTGTTGTTGTTTTTTTAAAAAAAAGAAGCTGTGCCTAGGGCAACAAACTTGCAGGCTAAATTCAAATGAAAAACTAAAACGCACCTCTGTCAATGATATTTTATCCTGTATAGCACATGGTAACCTAATCCTTAAACCAGACAACTTTGAATAAGGCAAACAGTAGTGCTGAACCTGTAATTTCAATTTGACACCCAGGAACTTTAAGACAGAAAAAGGGCCTCAGATTTTTTTCCCCAGGGGGCAGAGGAAATCCAAATTCCTCTGCCAATTTACCCAGTGGATGCATGAGATCTAAATACATACCTGACTTCATCTTACCAGCAAAGAGAAAAGTCTCAAATAATGAGTGCCTTCAGAAGAAAAATTGAATACAGTCATACCTTGGCAGTCGAACAGAATCCATTCCACAAGTCCATTCGACTTCCAAAACCCTCAGAAACTAAAGTGCAGCTTCTGATTGGCTGCAGGAACTTCCTGCAGCCAATCAGAAGCTGAGGAAGCCCCATTGGATGTTCGGCTTCCAAAAATAGTTTGCAAACTGGAACATTCACTTTCAGATTAGAGATGTTTGGGAGCCAAAATGTACGAGAACTAAGCTGTTCAAAAACCAAGGGACGACTGTTGATTGAAATAATCAGGATGAATAGGAAGAAGACATAAAGCATATTTAATGTCACACATGCCCAGAAGCACATTCTGACCACAGTGAGGCACCATGTGTGCAACCGTTTCAATGGAAGCAAAGGTGACACAGCAGGGTAAGACAAGTGATGAATGTTGAAATTTCACAGGAAATGTTTTGGAACAACTCCAAACAGAGATATCTTAAGATATCCTAAAGAAAGAACAATGAAAGGACCAGAAAACTGATCCTCCCATCTCTCTTGCTAGTTTTGAATGGACAAAGTCTTGAATCTCAGACCTCAAATTCCAAGACATTATATGAACCCTGGGCTCTTCATAAGGAATCCAAAAACCCACGAGAAAAGACCTGAACTAAATAGGTTGTTGCCACTGTACTGAGTTAGTTTCCCAAGACACAGACAAGCTTATCAACCCTACCTCCTTCCATGGAATATTCCAGGCCAGGGAAGGGTTCAAGACAGCTCTCCTTCTAAAGTTTTCATTATACCTGAGCCACATGGAAACTGGGGGCACATCCACACCATATATTTAAAGTAGTATAATGCCACTTTAAACAGTCGTGACTTCCCCCAAAGAATACTGGGAACTGTAGTTTGTTGAGGGTGCTGGAGCTGTTAGGAGAATCCCCTATTCCCCTCAGAGAGCTACAGTTCCCAAAGTGGATTAACAATCAATTCCTCTTCTCTGAGAATGCTGAAACTTGTAGTTCTCAGCATTCTTGACAAACCACAGTTCCCAGGATTCTTTGACGGAAACCATGACTGTTGAAGTATATTATTAATTAAAGTGTACGGTGTGGATGTGTGGCCCAGGTATTCAGAATCCCCCAACTCACTGTGAGTAATATCTGCTACTTCACCAATGCTGGGTTCCTTTTCAGTTGTAAAATTACATCTGTATAAATGGTGTAACTGGACAACCATTTACCCCAGTTTCTACTTTCACGCTTATCTGTTCTTTTTCTTGGGATTCAGTAGAGTGCTTTTCTTTAGACTCAGGCTCAGAAAATAGCAGAGAGAGAAAGATAACTCTATTCCTATAATATTTTATTTTTAGTTGTTGCGAGCAAGTAATCACCTAAAAGGCCAGTTTCCTCATATGGTTACTCCCCCCTGTCCCATACACAAATGTTATAGACCTGACATGGAGCCTGGCTCCTTGGATTTAAAGGCAAAGAATGATGGCCCCAATAATGAGGGAGACAAACAGGGAATTGGTCTCCCCCTTGACAAATTGGTCACATGGAATATACAGGCCTTTGACATCTACACATTAGTAGCAGAAAGATATTCAAACCTGACTTTATTAGGCATACTTTTGAGTAGGCAAAGTAGATGCCAAAACAAGGAGGGTCATTCTGTGGCCAATTAAATGATGTGTGTAAAACCCTTGTGTGTAACTCTGTGGCAAAATGGTGGCAATATGATATATGAACACATGATTGTTCCCGGTACCTGTGGAGTGCTAGTTCATGTTCCTCTGCCATATGATCACTTCCTTGCCACGCAAATTGTTGCCATGTATCAGTCACATGCAGCCTGGAATCACCTCTGTGGAGACCCTCTGTTAGTCTAATGGCATTGTTTCGGGCAGAGAAATGAACACTTGCACATCTAAAATGTAGAGTATGAACAAAACAAAAAAATGCAAAGCATCTGCCATTTAATGCAAGCAATTTTCAAAATAGGTCACCATCAAGGTTCGTTTCTATTCTCGGTCATCAGAAGAGAAAGAAGATGGGGAAATGAAATTTGCAGCGAACGTGTATAATTTAAACTGTCCAGCTGTCTAATTTTCAGCATGTTTGACTAGTTCATTGCTTACACTGCAGCAACACTGTGCATAGAAAAAAAGTTATCCAACCATTTATGAACTGTCAGTCAAAAGCTCAAAAAGACTAAGCTTTTGGGGATATGCCGTTCCCAAGCCTTCTGCCTTTTCGCCTCTAACTACAGAGATAGAGGACAGCATCTGGTTGCTCTGATTCCTTTCAAAGTCATACCAAATATGGCTTAGGTAAATTTGATGGGATATTTTGGCCCTTAGGATATAAAATGTGTTCACTGTCTCTTGCATGGATTTGTATTTAATCCATCTGTTCAAAAATGTCTCATATTTCAGGAGTTTATATGTTGGCACTTGATCAAAGAAACTCCCATGAAAGACACACACACACCCCGGCTGCCCATTCAAAGCTCTCTGAAACATGTAACGTTTCCCCCAAAATGGCAGCCTCAAATATGAGGGATCCATTGCCTATACCTCACAGTGACTTGAGTTGACAGCAGATGAGCAAGATGCTTTGATTTCAGGCAATTATTTTTCCATGTGGTGTGAAGCCAATTTGACTAACTGTATAGAGAAAATGAGTATAATTTGTAAACCGGATCTGAGAATGTACAGTGAATTCTTTGTTCTAAGTCATAGCCACTATTTATTCCCAGCATCTTCTTCCAGTTCCACGAAGGGAAGGCAGCCCAGTGCTGCCACCATCCCATGCTGCATGGCCCCAGTAAAGGAAAAGGTGAATTAACATGTTCATGTTTGCCATCTTCCCAGCAAAGCGAGACAATGAGGAAGTTCAAAATGCCAAGGCAAAGAGGGGAAATGTCCTCCATAAATCGAGTTATTACCTGGCATGATCATGTTGTCTAAAGTGTAGAAACCTAGAATAAAATATTTGTTACATATATCCCTTAGGTGATCACAGTCAGGTCACTACCTCAAATCCATCATTTTTATCTCTAAAATAGAAATGCAAGTGATCTGCCCTACTAGGTTTATTGAGAGGAAGGATGAGATAACTATGAGAACTTCTTCAGTACAGTATGCTAAAATATCTCATCCTTCTCTACTGTAGAGATTGCCAGCCTACTGGCCCTCTGGGTGGAAATGCCAAAATCTGTCAGTTTTGGGTTATCTCGATTTGTCTCATCTTTTCCAGTTTTAATTTCAGTTCTCCACATTTTCACAATTTTTTAAAAAGTCCACATGAGAAATCAAAACATTTTTGTGTGCATTTCACTTAATATACACAATTTAGCTTAGTATACATACATTATGCAATATATTGTATTTCTGTACGTTATTTTCACCAATGCGATATTTTTGTGTGAACAATTTTTTCTAATACTTGCTTTTTAATGCATTTTTGTTGTTGGAGATCTGTATTGCAAAATCTGGAGAAGCGCAATTTCAAAAGATCATGGTCTGTGTATTGTTCCAGGAAGTAGGTAGGTTCACATTAGAATGTGAACCAGATGAATTTCCTCCATTCCTGTGTCCAAATATCCAGCATCTGGAGGGCTACATGGTCTCCATCTTTGCTTAGGGTGTCGGTTCCTGACTTCACTGAGTGCTGATGCATTCATTGTATTGTTCCAGCAGTGAATTTTCCAGTGTTCCTTGTACTAACTTACATCTGAATAACTCATCAAGTATGGTGAGGAAATCAGTAGGCATACCATGAGGAAGTAGGGCATTTGCACATTGAAAATACCCCACGCTTGTTGAACGGAGTGTAGAAGCTGTTTGTTTTCTCTGTTCCAACAGAAGAAAGCTAGTGTACTTTTGCAAACTGTTTTGACCTCTGTGACCAGTCCTGTACTAGCTCACCTTCTCAGGCAAACACCACTTCCTACATCACTCCCCTAGGGAGTCAGCAAGCTTTCAAAGACACAATTGTGTGATGA